TCTAAGTATGGTTTTGAGCTTTGCTAAAACCGGCTTAAAGTGATGAAAATATGACTGGTTCCTTTAAAGGTTACACTGGTTGAAAATTAGTGCAGTAAAGCTGTAACTCTGCCCGATTTGGCTCCACCAGAATCTACGAGAGATGAGAACTTCATTTCTTGGTCGCACATTTCGTTAAAGAAACCCTGTTTAGCGTTAGGCCGGTTGTTAGAAACCAGCTTGCTGTTGGGATGCTGAACTTTAAAGCGTTTTAACTGCAATCGGTGCTTTTTCATCATTTTATTATAGTTTGCCTTGAAATTGCAGTAAAATTCTTCCACAAAAGTCTTCATCTGTTCAAGTGGTTCTCTAGTCTTTTCTCTATCGAGATGACCCTCTGCGAATGATAAAAAGATAGTTTATAATACCGTCACTAAAAAAACAAAAACTAAAGGGAGTCGAGTGTTACGGCACAGTGGGAACAAAGGTAGTTTCAGCATCATTTTATTGTGTTTCATGCAGTTTGCTTACAAAGATTATATTAGGAGCCGAACAAGAATTGGGCACGTTAACGATTTTAGTCCAAGTTAACTGTTTCAAGTTCATCGCTTTCAGGCTTTCAGAACTAATAAAAGAAAGTTCAAATAATGATTTACCAAAGTAAAGGGACAATAAACAAATAACAACAAACCAAGTTAGAATCCGTATGGTCATCCATAATCTATGTTCCAGTTTAGCTTACATTACTTGCAAAAATGATCGGACGCAAAAATTTCGGGCGTTTCCGGCCGGGACACCTTTTGTCTTACTTCGGACAAATTTCGGACAAAAATTTCGGACATTTTCCTGAAACAAATCTAATGCGAATTAACGCCTGCAAAACACGACTTAAACTTAAACAACTTCTGGAAATGAAAGTTTTACTGCAGCCTCAAGGTTCTATGAATACACCGACGAGAAAATGACTCAAATTCTATCAAGCCGTTACGTATGTCAAGTAGTGTCTCAACTAGACACTTTTTTTTCGGACACTTTTTTTTTGGCAGCGAAATTAAAATGTTCCGAAATCTTTTGCAAGTAATGTGTTACTTTCGTTTTCTACATTGGTTCAAATCATTTTTTGTACTTTCCTTCGTTTTGAAGGCAATTCAGTTGAACAATGTTAAAAATGACTTCACCTACATAAAGCAATCAAGAATTGCTTTAGTTTTGCTTTACCACTTACTGTGTTTTGCTAATGAATATATGAAAGATCATATATTTGAACTGCGGAGAAAGGTATGAAGACATCAGTGATTTTCAGGCGTTAATTTCATTTTTTTCAGGCTTTAATTTCACCGCTGCTTAGGTTGTGTTCATAACTGCGATGATCACTGATGTCTTCGTACTGTGTTTTGTTTGAAAACATGGCGCCACCAGCTAAGCCAATCAGATGCAAATTCAAAAGAAATCGCGACTTGATCACACGCCTTTTCCCGCGCATATTATCGTTTACGTGTTTTTGCCTCAAGTACTCATTGATTCATTTGGCTGTTTACGTTTGTTGTGACTGGCCATTGACTGACTCGATTTAGTTCTAATACAGGTAATTCAGTGAAATCAGCTCCATCAACAATTGACTCCTTACTATAGGCAAACTGGGTGAAGTTTGCGTTCAAGCTTAGTGACCTATCGGGTCATTTAGCTACAGTAACGTCGCTGACACCCATTTTTAATCCTAGGTGGAGAGAATCACTCTGAGGGTCAAATGTCTTGTCTAAGAAGGCAGAACACAACATAATGACCTTGATCAGGGCTCGAGCCCAGGCCGCTCACTCCGGATGTTCAGCGCACTAACCATAAAGCAAGCGCCCATCCTACTTATTAATGATAATACATACCTCTTACTAACCGAGTTCGAAGGCTGTACTGTAAGTTACGGACCGAGTTTTTTCCCTGTCGATTTATGTCGGGCCATAAATCGAAGGGAAAAACGAGGATCCGTAACTTACAGTACGGTCGAGAAAACGAGGTTAGTCAGATATTTATTACATCTCTACTGTGTGTCTGACGGGTTCGGGAACGATTCCTATTCACGCAGAACGGCTTCAAATTTCTGACGCACGTCGAAAGCAAAACGAATCAATTTGTAATCGTTGTTAAGTGACTCTTAAGTCGTTAGCAAGTTTCAATACAGAATTAACTTCAGAAATAAAAGAGAATTTTAAAACTTTTACGTACTAAAAAAATAAGAACACTTGGTGATAAATCACGAAACATTTTGGCCACGAAAACAGCTTTAAATTTTAGCGGGCCGCGTAGTAGAATACGGCCCGCTTAATAGACCAATCACAGCGCGCGTACCAGCTGAGGGCTATAATACTGTCAGCTATATCAGGGACTTACCGCATTGTTCAGCTTCCCGAATTCGCACCTTTCTCCTGTGTTCCCACATAANCTTACAGTACGGTCGAGAAAACGAGGTTAGTCAGATATTTATTACATCTCTACTGTGTGTCTGACGGGTTCGGGAACGATTTCTATTCACGCAGAACGGCTTCAAATTTCTGACGCACGTTGAAAGCAAAACGAATCAATTTGAAATCGTTGTTAAGTGACTCTTAAGTCATTAGCAAGTTTTAATACAGAATTAACTTCAGAAATAAAAGAGAGTTTTAAAACTTTTACGTGCTAAAAAAATAAGAACACTTTGTGATAAATCACGAAACATTTTGGCCACGAAAACAGCTTTAAATTTTAGCGGCCGCGCAGTAGAATACGGCCCGCTTAATAGACCAATCACAGCGCGCGTACCAGCTGAAGGCTATAATACTGTTAGCTATATCAGGGACTTACCGCATTGTTCAGCTTCCCGAATTCGCACCTTTCTCCTGTGTTCCCACATAAGCCCCAGGATGATTGCCACGGCTAAGCAAGCACTAATGATGTACGAAAAATATCTGAAAACTTCATTCTGAGGGTCAAACAGGCCTGAGGAAACTTCTAAAAGCTCAGGAACATGTTCCTCCTGTTTAAATCAAACATAAATATTAAATCTACACCCTCCAGGGGGCGAGGCGGGTTGTGAAGGAGTTACAACCGGCCGCGGAAGGGGAACGTTGGGCAAGGACACTATTTAGCCAGGGTTTGATGAAAGCGGCACTTACCAGCTAGGGAGAGGCTGGGGGTCATTTCTCAGGTTCTTACTTTCGCTCATTTGTTCGTTCGTTTGTTCTTTCGTTCATTCTCTTGTTCGTTCTTTCGTTCTTTCGTTCGTTCGTTCGTTTGTTCGGTCATTCGTTCTTTCCTTCTTTCGTTCGTTCGTTCGTTCGTTCGCTCGTTCGTTGCTGTTTGGTTGGTTCGTTGTTGCTTGGTTGGTTCGTGGTTGGTTGGTTGGTTGGTTAGTTGGTTGGCTGGCTGGTTGGTTCGTTTGTTCGTTTACTCATTTCTTCGTTTGTTCGTTTGTTCGATCGATCGATCGTTCGTTCGTTCGTTCGTTCGTTTGTTCGTTTATCCGTCTGCCGTTTTTTCTTTCGTTTCGATTAATTTGTCTCACCATATTCATCAAGTTATGATAAATGGGTTTCGCACAATTACCAACTGCACCAAGTAGTTTGTTGTTATATAATGTAAATAATATAGAATTGAATAATATAACGAGGTCCAGAATTGCTACTTTATACACCTACTTAACCTTTGAAGCATGCTTTACCGTCCTATAGATAATATCGTGGAAAAAGAATCTCTTTGTGTTAACTTGAATCACATTGAAAGCACACCTCACACGACGATTACCTCGGCTCATATGACTGTAATTCTCAATTACCTCAATGGAGTGGATAAACTTTGCAATGTGTTCATACATCTCAGCTCTATGTGACTGCATGTAACTCTTAGAACACTGTAAAAGTTTGGTGGAATTTCCAGCTAGAACCACACCGTATGTAGACTTGTAATCATAAATGGTGTGAATTCGGATCCTTGGGTCTTTAAACTGATCTTTCTTGTATCCAGCTTCGTATGTATCGATCAACATTCCTTGTACGTCTTCGTTGATGAGAGCATCGTAAACTTCGGTAAAGGTTGTGTAGTTTTTGGCTGAAAAAGTAACGCAATTATTTGAGGTCACGCTCGGTTATGTCACGCCTTTGGGTCACGCTTGACTAGGTCACGCTGCGGTCATGCTACAATACGACACGCAACCTTGGTAACGCTACGCGTGTCCTGTTTGATGCGTATTTTGCCGGTTTGATAATCTTTGATGTTTAAAAAAATATGTTTGCGACAAAAATCGTGGTGAATGTAATGATTTACCTTCATAACAAGCAACGAGGATTTCCGAGTGCCTAAGAAAAATATTGCTGTTAATAACCAAGTTCTTTTTTAGAGTACCTTCATTTACTCTGGCATTCCTTGCCACAGCTAGTCTGTATTCAGGTGTGTCTTGAATTGCCGCGACCTATTAAAGAAAGAAAAAGAAAACACTGTGATTCCAACTTGCTTGATGAGATTTTTCACGTGTATGAGCTCGATTTTTACTGTACTAAGTCTTGCCATTTTTGGCATGGGATTAATTCTGTTGGCAGCAGCTATTTGTCGATTCTTGGACTGGCTGTCACCTTGCATTTTAACACCAGTGTAGGACCTGAGAACGAGGTTGATTGTTTTGACCTCCTATGTGCATGCGCGTTTTAAGCCGCGGGTGACAAATGGTCTTGTGTTAAATCTTTTCTGACTGGAAGCATCCGAAGAGTGTTCAAAAAAAGAGAAAAGCAGGATCACTCACGAAAATATTACTAACACGATTACATCAAGTTGCTAACCAACTTAGGTGACGAAAATCACTGGCTAAGTCTGGCTACGTCGCAGAATTTCGCCCTTGACTTAGTAGACCCTGGTAATGCGTGTTTACCTAACTGTTGACGTGTGAGGTTTTACTGCACCTACAATATCCTGGTCCTACCTTGGTGCCGTACAAGATTATGTCGGCCTCAAACACGAAGATCGTAATTGCGGTTGTGAGAGCGCCGCTCAGTATGCCCATCATCACCAGACCAGTTAATATCCAGACAATGGCGAACGCTTTGGATGCATTAGCCTTGGGAACTTTATCACCATACCTACAGTAATCATAAATAAACACTTTGAAAAAGCTTGGTAACACAAACAGTCTGATCATAAGATCAGGGAGCAGCACTTCTGAGGTCTCACATAAATGGCTCGATACCCTTTAAGGGAACAATAGAACAAACAACAGAAACAACCCCCTTAYCCCTAAAACTATAACAGCRGCGCGTGCTACAATAAARTTAACAATTGCAGCTTACGAGAGCTGCTACTCTTRTCTAGTTTTAAACTYGGTTGTTTAGTCTGTTGCAGGGGCTCGGTTCGTAGTGGGGAGAAAGATCTACCTCGTTCTCGCGCTCGCCGCTTAGCTCCCCTTTCGTTCGTCTCTACAAACTGAGAGCCTGGAACAGGCTATGTGTTGTCACACAGTTCCGATTTACCTGGGTAACGTCAGAATTACTGAGTAAGCTTCGGTGCGTCAGACTTGCACAGAAAGAGGAGATACGCACCACAAATGTTACTTCACCGCTCAGAAGACAAGATCTTTATTCTGAAATGCTAAACAACGCCACAGATTTCTGAAGCAATCAGAAACCTCAGCAAACCTGTCTTAATATATCAGGTGATGTGACTGACAAATAAGACCTTAGTTAACAAGGACCTGAACTAGAGTGACTCGCTTATTTTTACATGAGGGTCATTCGAAACGTAGTTTAACATATGTAATAGAGTGTCGTCCAAACCACAAACTGAAAGCTAACCGCAAGCAAACCTGAGAGGAATTAACCGCAAACAAACCAGAGACGAGTGTTAACCATATAGCGAGCTAACCAGATTGTTACTCTATATGAAAACGGTCATGAAATGTCTAACCTGGTTCAGGTCCTTGTTATGTTAGGTTTTGGACCTGCATTGTCATTACGGTACCAGCCTTTCTTGACAAAAGGTCAAAGCCACGATCGAGGGTGGCTGGCTTGAATTGGATTATTTGAGAAACATACAGAGAAGTTACTGAGCCAAATAAAAGTATCGTAAATAATAAACAGATGTTTGTTTGTTTTGTCTACTTCTTACCCTAGCGTTGTCATGGAAATAAACGCCCACCAAAACCCGTTTCCCGAACCACGGAGGAACGTGCGAGGAAAATGATCTGGATTGGACTTTGTATCCTGCGAAAGAGAAAATTCACAGCTAAAAGCACGTGACAAACAACAACAATGAGGTTCTTGACCTGACTGCCTCGTTTTTAAGTCACGGAAAGACATGAAAACGAGGCACCATAGATCCTTACCCAGACATACTCGTTTGAACGTTGCTTTTCACACATGCACCAAAAAAATTAAACCTCTTATTTCAGGATAAATGATGCATGAAATAAATTAAACGACGCGCTAAAAGGTTGTTACCTACCAAGAACCATATAACGATCCCGGCTAAAACAGCAAGTAACGTTGTTATAACCATGTAGGGCCAAGTTGCAAAGACCTCGTTTACCAGTCGTTGTGACGGGCTAAGACCTTCTTTTTCGATTATTATGAAAGCCACGCCCGGAGACTCAACCAGTGGAATATAACGATAATCGGCACTGTAATACTCCTGCCACTTCCAACCATACACAGGGAAACTGAGATTGAGAACAAACTCAAGGTTTAGTTTTCTCGGAAGAGTTTCTTAAGACTTTTGCATGAGCTTAGACTGATTTTCATCATGCCAGATAAGATTTCTCTACAAAAAAATGGGATTGGGGTCACCGTACTTGTTTTTGAGAAATAATTAGCACTTAGAGCTTAAATTAAGGGTGTTTTTAGCAGGTTGTACTAGTGCTATGGTAACCTATTATGACATGCAGATAACCAAAACATGTTCACCAAACACTGGGATCGAATTTGTATGATACCAATGTTGTGGCATTATTTGATTAAGAGCTAGTCTCCACAAATGTAACTAATCGCGAACAGTGCTAAGCAATGGTGGCCTCAAATCTCAGTCAGTTGGGAAAAGGAAAATTTTAACCCTTTTGAGACTGATATTTTCGAGAAAAACCAATAAGGTTTTTACACTTCACATAAATGAAGGTACACAGATCTTACACAAAAAATCAATTACAGAAGCTTTAAGAATATAACTGTGCGAATGTTAATCAACTATATTTTTGGATTGACCTTCGATTTTGCCGTAATGAGTTGAGACGCAAAAAATGGACAAATGTCTAAACTGAAAGGAATGCATGAGAACAGGAAAATTGTCACAGCTTCTAACTTCCTTTCAGTTTCACTTACCTGAGATCGTTACGATCCTCAATCAAGAACTTCATCTCTTTCTCGCTGTTTTGTTTAGCGGTACCATTCGTGCCGTTATACTTGAAGTCCACATACGATCTTCCGTGAGCTCCACAAGATTGACAGCACGTGACCACAAGGTCATCGAGAATTTTAGGCAGCATCCCCGTCATGTTGGCTACAGTGAAACGTCCATCGTCACTCACTTCAAATTGATCTACATACGGCGGGAAAGTTCGATAGTTCGAAGAAAGTCGTTTTTGACAGCGACATGTATCTGACGAAAAGACCGCGATTACACTTAGGATTGTTACATATGAAGTCCTCTTAAAAATGTTTAGCATAATAACCAATGGTAATTGCATTTAAACAGGGACTACCAAAGCCTTTTTGTAAGTGTTATTGAGAGAAATTGCAGCTAAACTCTCAGAAACCTAATTTGAGCAATCCTTTCCACTTCCAAGTATTTTTTTTTTTTACAAAATATCTTATTGGGGCATGCGTTAAAGGCACAATATTGAGGTCTTCAGTGTTAGCAGGCGGAAAAAGACCAAGTGGGGTTTTTCGGACCGATATTTGTCCCTCGAGCACGTTCATAAAATAATTATGTTTTATCTACTGCATCTACCTTTACTTTGNTTCTTTCATTTTCTAAGGTGATTTCGTTCGTGTTTTATTTACCTTTAACTTTGTGCGCGATAAAAAAGTTTCCGAATAAACGTCCAGGAAAGTGATTATTATTGAAAAAGATATCAACGATAGGTGTAGTCTCGTTTTAATTTCCTTCGACTTTCTGGGCAGAGCTATCCTTTGCTAGACTTTTTCCAACTTCTTTAACAGATTGCAAGAACTGTGTTTCTTCAGCGCTGGCTTGTGTAGCTGGGAGTCAATGTATTTCAAAATCTACTGCCACCATAAGGAGTAAGAAATGACAAGGTATCACGCCAGGCGCTGCTGACAAAAGCAACTCAAAAATGCCTTTTCTTTCTCATACCTCCTTCAGTGATCGCACTCGGCCCATCCCCCTGGCGACTAAACCCGGACACGTTGATCTGGTACCGAGTGTACGATTCCAGTCCTTCTATAACAACTGTTAAAGTTGTCTTACGAACTGTGAAGTTGTACGTTGGCGCCTCCTCCTTCTCTACATTCTCGTCACCAATCCTCACGGCCCGGTAAGAGACGCGGTAGCCAAGCATTCTCTCCAGTATAAACAAGTCGTCAAAAGGTAACCAAGTGACATTAACAGAAGTGGTGGACGTGTAGTTGTAACTTGTCACGTTGGTCGGTGTCTTCTTTGGCCCTTTGAGTCAAACAAAATGAAGTTGTAGATTACAAAAGGAAGCGCGAGCTCTGCCAACACCTACGTGCGTGTAGTAACACGCGCGCACCAGCGCGCGTTTACTGGTGTGTATGTACTAGCGGGCGTTAGCTAATGCGCGTGTACTAGCGCGTTTTCATACTGCTAGCGTGTATGCTTTACATACTACGCGTGTATCCGCGTGCGTTTTTAGCGTGCAATGGGACGCGTATATGGACGTGCGTTATTCCATGCCTACATGAATGCACATCTGTGTTAAAGTCACGGGATAAAGGAATATATATTTCCAAAGGACTTGTCTCGCGCATGTGTTCTCAACGCTTGAAAACTTTTGTGGTTTCGATAGCTTCATTCAACAAGACATGACATTTTTCACGTTTACTTCTTTGCTTCTCAACCTTTTCTCGCTGGCGCCGTTAACAAAATTTCTCACGTATGTTAAGTCCAAACACTTACCAAGTGTGTCTGGTAAGGCAAGATCCAACGTCGCAATCCCTTCACCTTTCCTTGTGAAGGCAGTGATTTCAATGCTGTAATTAGCATAAATGTCCATATCATAAAGAAAGGCATACAGTACATCAGCTGTTGTGTTTTCAATCCTGGCTGGGGAAGCTCCGTCCAGTTGTTGGTATCTGACTCTGTAACCCAGGATCACTCCGTTGCGACAGTGCGCGGGGACTGGCTGCCACTTTGCAAGAAGCATAGTAAGTCCCGGGACATCGTAGGTGACGTACTGTGGTGGCAGACAGGGGACTGGTGAATAAAATACACATTGTAAAAAATAAACGTGGAAAAGAACGCCATATTCTAGAGTGTT